TTTTTTTCGAATGGTATCTTATTATCTATATAACTACATAAATTGATAGCCATTTTCGTTGTTCTGCGATATGAGCAAAATAAATAAAAGCTTGTAAAATTAGGTAATTGTAGGGCCAGTGCAGGTAAACGTAATACTTTCTTTGATAATTGATACTAGTTGCACAATTTTTAAGGCAGGTATCGCCAATGGGCAGGTATGTTGAATGCATCTATCGGAGCACTTTCCTTATAAATGTTAAAAATAATGCTTTTGATGCGCATTTTGGGGTAGGTATCTTAAATGTGCACTTAAGCATAAAGGCAGCAAAGCAAAATATACTGTATTGAAATGTGGGTTTTCACAAAAATAGACTTAGCAACTTTTCACTCTAAGCTAACGATATGTTTCATTTACTATAAATAAATATGAATGGTAGCACAAATGTATCCGCACTCACAATTACTAAATCAGAAATGATCGGCGATGCCAAAGATGCCGCGAAGCTAAATCCATATCGTTACTAGACACGAACAAAGAGACGCGCTAGTGTTTTGACGGTGAGAAAGGACGCGTGAAAAATAATACGCGTAATAAAACTTCGGCGAAGAAAGACGCATAAACCTAGTGGATGGAAAAAAAGACGCGTAAACATAGATTTACCTGGTCAAGGGCTGGCCAAGTGCTGTCACTTCAGCATCATTTCCCAAAAGCTCTTTAGGGAATTTACATAGTGTTACACCCGCGAAAATAAGTTGTCGCGTCTTTCTCCGCCGTCAACTATGTTAAGAGTCTCTCTTCGCTGTCGTTTTTTTATGCGTCTTTTTTCGGGGCCAACTTTTGAGTTCGCGTCTTTGCTAGTGTGTAGTGGCTATATACCGTTATATGTATATGTATGTAGGTCGCACTGTAAGAGATATACATTTACCCAAGGAATATTGAACAGCTACAAATAGTGTTTCAAAAAAGCGACCACGTGTTGATTTTTTTAACATTCACAATGTTTTTCAAGTAAAATTTTGTTTGTTATTTTTCTATAAAAATATTGTTTAAGCTTTAACCAAAACCATATGTATATGTATGTACATATGTACATTAGGGTGGTCCCTACATGTAGGAAATAGCCCAAACGGTAATAACGCAAATTTGTCTTATTTCCCAACCTTTGTTGGAAATAAAGCAAAACTCAGATTTTGGTATTATTTCCGATTTAAATGTGAAATAAAGCAAATTTGGCGTTATTGCCGTTTGTTATTTCACCCCCTGTGTCGCACATGGGGCAAAGTTCACATGCCTCTAAGGAGGCTCAAACAATTAAAATTTTATGGGCTATAAATTAGCATACCCAAAGATATTCTAAAGATTCAGATTAAAAAGTTTGAAATTTTATGAAAATTTTTTAAATTTTGTATAAAGTTTGATTTATGTACTATATGGTTTTGGTTAAAAGATGAACGATATTTTTATAGAAAAATAAATATTTGTAAGCACTTGAGTTCCGAAAATTTCACAATGGCCACGAATAAAGGCACCAGCCATCGCGACCGGAATTTTGTAGGCTAAATAGAATATTGTGTTTTACTCGAAAGAAAATTATTAATTTAATAGCTCCAACGCATTTAGTAATTATATTTGATAGATTTGAGGAAGATGTTTATTGAGTCTACGCCGCGGCTGAGAGGGGAGTATGGCAGTTTGAGATATAAAAAAAAAAATATTTATCAGATTGATTTCTTTTATACACTAGCAAAATAATGCTCCGATCTGTACCAAGGAACTGTAAAAACGAAGATATGTAGGTAAGCTTAATCATAACACAATAGGGAGGAAAAAACATCACAGCTCAACTGCCGAGCACGTAAACTTTATTTTGTATTTATCATTCGACATTCTTTGTGGGTAGCTTGATTTTTGTGTAAAAGAACAAATGGCAAACGATTTTTTATTTATATTTTTTCCCTGTTAAAGCTTGAATATTTTCATTCACAATGCAAACTTAAAATGAAAATACCCTGGGAAAATTATCTAGAAACACAGTATACAGATCCGTGATCTACGACCAAAAATAAATTTCACGTATTTCGGTGTTTTTTTTGTTATTTCAAAACATTTAATTTTCCTTACAGTGTCATTTTTTGATTTTCAGGTAGTCAAAAATGTTCTTACCGTTTCTTCGAAGAATATAATTTCATCACGATTTAAAAATCTTTACTTTTATTATTTTTTCGGAAATTTCATGAAGTCTTCATGTTTTATTTTTAGGGTATAACAATTTCACGTGTTGCGGTGTTTTTTTTTGTTATTTCAAAACTTTTAATTTTCCTTACAGAGTGATTTTTTGATTGTTCAGGTAGTCAAAAATGTTCTTACCGTTTCTTCGAAGAATATAATTTCATCACGATTTAAAAAACTTTACTTTTATTATTTTTTCGGAAACGTCATGAAGTCTTCATGTTTTATTTTTAGGGTATAACCCTAGATTTTCTCGGTACTTTTCCGGATTTTTTTGAAACTTTCAGGTCAAAAACAAAATGCACCGTGGTTTTTCTTCTCATACCTTCATTTTACACTTTTTACTACAATATTTATACTCGGTACAGTTACTGGTCGTACGTTGAAAGCGGCATGGAATTAGATATACCTCAATTCTTTATTAATCCTGTGCGGTAATTTTTCTAGTATGCCATATATTGGAATTGGCGAGATATACAGGGTGTCCCCCTCTAAAGTGGAGGGAAATGCTTTTTTTTTTAATCGAAACCCGCAAAAATTTAACCTACTAAATCGGGGATGCTCTATCTTTTGGCGGTTTTACATTACATATCCCTACTTAATTGCCTTCTTTTATAGGTAAGAAGAAAAGAATTTTCAACAATTTTCTTTTTGTAGCTTTATTGGTTTATACAGTCGTATACATTCGTATGTCCATTGATTTAAATAAAAGAGAATTATAACACACTAGTTTGTTCTCACCCGCTTCGCTGGGAGTATGAAATTTCTGCGTGTTGCCTTAGGTGTAATTTAACTTGTTGAAACTTGACTTGACTTGTTGAAACTCAGCAAAAAATAAGAGTTTTGAATATTTTTCTATCATTATATGTATATATTTTTTCTTATCCCCCTTAAAATATTTTCAAACTAACATCTTAAACCCTCTTCTTTAAACCTTCAAAATATTTTCAAGCTTCAACATTCTTAGATCTCTTTCTTTATCTTAACAGCGGGATTCTACCACACATATTTCCAGAGGTATGCAGGATGAAAAATTTAGTTAGTATGGGAGGTGCCACGCCCTCGTGTCTATTCGAGATTAAGGCTATGCTATATTTTATGTTGGGATAAATGACAAAAATGTACAAAATTTCGTGATGATCGGTTGAGTAGTAAAGCGTGAAAGCGTAACAAACAAACAAACTCACTTTCGAATTTATAATATTAGTAAGGAGTAAGGATTTCAAATGTCCCGCTTTTTCTTTGTTTTTATTTTTTGATTTGTCTTTCAGCCTGTTAACGTGCGCTTTTTAATACATACATATTTACTTGTGTATACATTTTATGACCTCTCTTTTCCAAATGAAGGCTTCCTCTTTGACAAATGAATGAAATTATGGTGTGGGTAAATGCATATTAAGCACGGTCAAAGTTTTAAACCAAATTATTTATTCACATAAATTAATGTTTTAAAGTTTAATTTTTTTTTTCTATAAAACATTGATTGGGCCAGAAATGTTCTACAAATTTATATTACACATAAAGCTCAAATTTTGATGGGAATTTGTCGAATTTTCCAAAATTTTATATAAAGTTTGAAACTTTGATTTATTTGGTTTTGGTTAAAGCTTGGGCAATGTTTTTATTTTGAAAAGTAACAAAAAAACTTACCCTTGAAAAACACTGAATATTAAAAAAAAATCAACACATGAAATCTTGTTTCGAGTCGCTGCACAAGCCGAAAGCGGTGTTTGATTTTCCTCATCTTAATGAAATTACGGTAAATAAAAAGTAAGCGAAGTTAAAATCGTTTTTTGTCGTTTCATTTAATGGCAAGCGGGTACAGGCATTATTTATTATACATTTGGCAAATTCTGGCTAGGCTTTGGAACCTGTTCCGGAATTTTTAAGTTATATGTAAGTACATTTTATAAGCTATTAACTAGTTAACATTACAAATTTTCTCGGCTGCGTTACGATTAACCAATATCATAACATTTAAGCATGCATAACAGTCAATTACAAACAAGAAAAATATAAATCATTCCATGAATACAATTTCATTAAGTGTACAATAAACATATTAACCTATTTCATTCCATATTCAATTAGATATAATATAATATATATTTGCTATCCAAAAACGGGCCATCTATGTAACAATATATGTATATATATAATAGTATGTATTGATAAATAAATTAACGTATGTATATTTAGATAAACTGGTAAAGGCGTAGCGATTATTGTATGGTGTAGAAGAATTCTTCCTTCTATACGAGATTAGTTTTGTATATTAAGTTACAATCATTTAGAGTCAATTATTAATCGTCATTTAATAAAAGTAATTAGATGTTGATAGTTTATTGTTGTAGAGTTGAAGTTAAAGTGAGTTGAAATTTGAAGTAGTAGTTGGATTTTTGGCAAGCAGAATTAGAAAAGGAAAATGTTTATAGAGAGAACTTGCTGAAGAATGGAAATATAACATAGAGTATGGAAATGTGCAGGACAGGAACAATTGTTGTGCATTTTTTTTTTTAATTTTGTCGTTGTTTTGTATCAAATAAAATTTTAAATATGAAGTTTTACATAAGGACACGTATAGAAGAGAAATAAGGATAAAAACGAATGGGAACTGAGATGATAAAGTGAAAAATATTGATACTGTTTCAAATATAATAGGAAGAATTAATGCAAAAATATACATTATGGCTATTTAGTTTGAAAATTGTTATGCCCTCACTTCTACTGAATGACTAACTTCATTCTTTCTTATAATTTTTGCTATTCATGTTTTTACAAATCATATGCTTCAGGTGTACTGACCTCTTGGAGCAGATCCTGGGAGGCAATCGCTTTGAGCACATTCTTCTTCGATGTCTCCTGTATTTCGCCGCCAATTAACAACTCGTCTAAGATGAAGTAGGCCTTTTCAAAGTTAAAAATTATGTCCAATTCACAAACCTAAATTTGAAAGAAGAAACACAGACATTTTAGCTAACGCAAACAATTTAAAACCAACTTCAATTGTCACCATGAATAATGCTGGTTAGTTTTGGTGAAAATAATTTTAGAATAATTGATTTTATCGCAACTGGCTGTTCGCCGTCTGGCACCTCATACCCCGTATGCACCAAATGCAATACCAAAACATTAAAAAAAATCACAATACTGTAAAAAGTTTACTTTTCTCAAAGCTTTTCAACCATTTTCTAATAGAATTACAAGTCCGAGCTTACCACTTTTTACCAGAATTTACTTTAAATTGAACATATACTCACTGTGAGTAAATTTTTACCTCAGTCCTCAGAGCAGAAGCGTTTCTGTCCATTCGAACGACATGGCCAAGCCAGCGGAGCCTCTGAATTTAATTCGCTGCACTATGTCTATAGCGTTGTAAAGCTAATACCGCTCATCGTTAAATGTCTGCGGTATTCGACCTCACCAACGCATAAAGGTCGTAAATCTTTCGCAGAATCTTTCCCTCGAAAACTCCAAGAGCCGCCTCATCAGACGCTTCCATTGTCCATGCCTCCGCGCCATACACCAGCACAGGCATGATGAGTGCCTTATAGAGTGTGATCTTTATTCGACGAGAGAGGACTTTACTTCTTAATTGCCTACTTAGCCCAAAGTAGCACTTGTTGGCAAGAGTGATTCTCCGTTGGATTTCAAGGCCGACATTATTATTAGTGTTAATGCTGACTCGCAAATAAATGAAGACGTCTACTTTTTCAAACTTGCATCTGTCAACAGTGACGTGGGTGCCAAGACGCGTACGCTCTGACTGTTTGTGTGATAACAGGAGAAGGCAGAACAGATGTATTTACCGATAATATCGATATCGTCGGCATACGCCAGCAATTGTACGCTCTTATAAAGTATTGTGCCTGAGCGGTTCAATTCTGCGGCCCTTATTATCTTCTCCTACATCAGATTAAAGAAATCACACGAGAGGGAGTCCGCCTGTCTGAAACCCCGTTTGGTATCAAACGGCTCGGAGAGGTCCTTCCCTATTCTGACGGAGCTGGTGGTATTGCTCAACGTCATTTTACACAGCCGTATCAGTTTGGCGGGTATACCAAATTCAGACATAGCGGCATATAGGCAACTCCTTTTAGTACTGTCGAAAGCGGCTTTGAAATCGACAAATAGATGATGTGTGTCGATCTTATTCTCGCGGGTCTTTTCTAAGATTTCGCGTATTGTGAATACCTGATCTATGGTGGATTTTCCAGGCCTAAAGCCACACTGATAAGGTCCAATCAGTTTGTTAACGGTGGGCTTTCTCTCCTACCACGAATCCAACACCGAATTTGTGCTCCTTTACGTGGCAACTGTAGTAGACAAGAATCGCTTCTGGCCACTCCTGGGTGAATGACAATCAAAAGTTTTCCACTTCTGCGCACGGAACCATCCTCCGCCGCTATCCAATACTTCTGTAGTTTTGTGTAAGCATTAGCAAAATTAAGGGCCCAACTTAACAACTAACAAGAGTTTAACTGTGAATTACTATTCACAACAAAAAAGTTCTCACTACACCCCTGAGTCTAAAATATTTTTGCAAGGCAATTTCGAAAGAAAATTTTTTGGCCGAACCTAGGGATTGCCTTTTCCGTCACACCTACATTCAGTAATACAATTTTTTTTTTTTAAATAGCTCTACTGGAATAATCAAAATGTTTCCATACGAAAAGATTAATGATGAGCTTTGATTTCCGGGCATTAGGGTGGTAATTTAAGGTGATAAGAACTGAGATCTGTTGGGTAAGTACTTGAGGTAAATACACTTCGAAAAAAAATTGCATCATCAAGACAAAAACAACGATGTGTCCTACTTTACGTTTCGACTGTAAATATGGCGAAAAGTGTAAAACGGCACCTACGTTCGACAGATTTTTTTTTTAAATTGGGTTGCAAAAACTACTTACACTTATTACTTATGAACTTTTTTCCGGTACTGTCTAACATACATACGAAACTGTTACACTTTTAAGATTCTCTACTCACACAAACACAAATGCAAAGCAAACATCGATTCTCTGTTGAGGTCAATGTAGAAAACCGATCATTTAAGCACAACAAGTATGAATGACTTATTCCCTAACGAATTAATGCCAAGATATATGTGTCGATCGAAGATTAAATGGCATTTAATTTATTTGTGAATTCATATTTAAAATCAGGATTGCATTTTTTCTTAATTAAATTGCTGAAATTGAATATTTAAATACAGTTTAAATATTTGATCTTAAAATTAATGAATTTTTGAAGTTAATCAATAATCTCTACTTAAAATGCGCATCGGAATGGAGCCTAAGTACTCCAGATCGACTCGAGTTAACTCTCAAAATTTAAAGAATTTACCTTCAATCCGTTCGTGGAGATTGAATTCCGCACGACGACAGAAAATATGAATTTAATAGTATACTTAATTCTCAACGATATTAAAATATGTATTATGCACTTACATGTAAAAATAAATACATAAACCTATGCGCATGTCCGATGTTTAATAGTATAGGGAATTAATTATAAATTTACTTTTGGGAATTGGTTCAGCCTATCCTTCTCTTTTTTTCTTTTGGATACCAACTATTAGCGTCCGATCGATTAATCGACTGATATGTTCTAATCAAAGCGCAATATATATATGTTGTTCAGACCAAAACGTAATAATTGGAAAAATGCACCAGCCTTAACTGAAAACTATTTGCATAATCAAACAAAAACCTTATGGACCTTTTTTATGAGTCTACAAAGCCATCAAAATAAGTACTAAAGTAATCTTTTAGAAACAGGCATCTAAAGAAAAAATGTTGTCATCTCATACGTGATATTGCATTTGGCGACGTTTTATACATATGTACATATTGTACATATAGCATTATTCAAGCGATCAATTATATAAAATAGAATTTAAAATAAAGAATTTATTAAGCGATCACTTACACTTCCAAAATATTTATCCAACAACTCCACATAACGGTGAATAATTTCAAGGGTTAACAGTTCATTATCGTTCTGCTCGATGGCACAACAAAAATATAAACTCGCATACCTTAAAAATTAAAATTTTTAATCAGAAATATGTGAGTAAGCTTTATATAGTAGTAGTACATTACATAATAAAAGCCATGATAAAAAAATAGGAAGGTAGAACCGTTGAGAGGAATTTTTCAAATTCTTGACGTTTGCAAGCAATTTAATTTTAAAATTTTACACACAAACTCACACACACCTTCACATTTTCAATCTCAAACAACAACAACTTTGAACAATTCCTTTTTTTTACTCTAATTTTTATATGATTTTAAAATGTTGGCAAACTTCAAATAAAAAAATC